GGCAAAGAAATGCCCCTTAGCCAGAGTTCTTATTAAAAATACATATTTTTACTGATTTCAAAGAGGTAGAGACACAAACATCCATGATGTGAGAGAATCATTGATCGGCTGCCTCCTGCATGCCCCACACTGGGGATCCAGCCCATGCAACCCGGGCATGTGCCCTGACTGGGAATCTAACCGTTCATAGGTAGACGGCCAACCACTGAACCACACCGGCCGGGCCCAGAGCTCGTTTTGGTGGGGCACCAGCAGAGCAAAGACAGGGAGGCTGGCAGAGCCCAGGTTGGTCAAGTAGGGCTGATTCGTGGGGGGCCCTCAGCACCATTGAGGACCCCTCTGTGTCTCTCCTCCCCAGGGACTGTCTCTTATTTTTATGTAACCAGCTCTCAAATCTGTTCCCACACTTTGCTCTTCCACTCCTAGCTTCTCCCCACAAACCCATTTCCTAGCTCCAGCAGAGCAGATGCTTGAAACCACAAGTTTGGCCACATCAAGCCCTCCTCTAAGGGGCTAGTTGTTCCCCAAATCTCCCACAATAGTCAGACCCTCCTTGTACCCCAGCCCTGGCCTGGGCAGAAGAAGGGCCTGGCAACCTCCAGCCTCCTCTGTAGTCATGATCCCCCCAAGACCATTTCTTGGGCCCTGGCTGGGCAGGTCTGTGTCATCCCTATAGACCAAGTTTTCGGAAGGCATGCGGGAGAGGGAGCCCAGAGCTGGATCGGGGGAACCAAGGGCGGAACAGCTTGAACCCTGGGCGCTCCCAGTGTGGAGTGCAGAGGGCTCAGTGACAAAGCCTCTGCCATCCCTGGCACCACGGGAGGCCTGAAGCCAAACCTCCATGGTAGGAGGTGAAGAGCCTACGAGCTCATGAGAACTCTCCTTCCTGGAGAATCACCTCTCCTGGCATCCACACAACAGCCCCTCCCAGACAGCGACTGATCCCGGCTTCAGGCTGTCTGCATAACATTTTCCCCCAACACCACACCAAGCCCCCCACTGGCTGGGACCGCATCTGTTTTGCACGCATGGCCCCAACCCCAGGCACAGAGCCTGGTTCCCAACATGAATTCCATCATAATGACATAGTGAATGAGCAAATCTCTCCATGTTGTCTTTTTTTAAAAAGAATAGTTTATTCATTTCAGAGAAAGGGAAACATCTATGTGAAAGCCCAACATCGATTGGCTGCCTCCTGCATGTCCGCCTCCTCCCACCCCACCCCTGCGCGTGTACACACACACACACACACACACACACACACACACACACGGGAGATTGAGCCCAAAACGCGGGCATGTGCCCTTGACCAGGAATCGAACCAGCAACCTCCTGGTGCATGGGATGATGCCCAACTGAGCCACACTGGCCAGGGCTCCGTTTGGCCATTTTAAAATTATATATCATACATCAAATTCTAACATAAGGGGAAAATAAAGATGTCCACATGCCAGTCCTGCTTTCCGGGGGCAATTGCTTCCAACTCCTTGAAGCTGTTTCTTCTAGTATTTACCTCATTTTAAAACCACAAACTTTCCTGTTATTGTTAAAATTGGTGGTCTTTATAAAGGTCTTTAAGTGCATGCATCTTTCTTTATTTTTTAAATATATTTTATTGATTTTTTACAGAGAGGAAGGGAGAGGGATAGAGAGTTAGAAACATTGATGAGAGAGAAACATCGATCAGCTGCCTCCTGCACACTCCCCCCGCACTGGGGATGTGCCCGCAACCAAGGTACATGCCCTTGACCGGAATCGAACCTGGGACCCTTGAGTCCGCAGGCCGACGCTCTATCCACTGAGCCAAACCGGTAGGGGCATGCATCTTTTTTTTTTTTTTTTAAATGTTTTTATCGATTTTTAGAGAAAGGGGGGAAGGGAGAGGGATAGTGATAGAAACATCGATGAGAGGAACATCATCCATTGGCCGCCTCCTGGGGATCGAGTCCACAACCCAGGCATGTGCCTTGACCTGGAATTGAACCAGTGACCTCTTGGTTCCTGGGTCGAGCTACAGTGTCTGGGCAAAGTGTGCACATCTTAACATGTTGCATATGTATACACTTGTGTGTACACAGCCCAGATCAAGATAAATTTCAGCTCCCACAGGCGCTCCTTTTGCCCACTCCTAGTCAGAGGCCCCATCTATCACTGTAGCACTATTGACATTTGTGGGGTTGTACTGAGCACTGTTGGATATTTAGCAGCATCCCTGGCCTTCACTCATTTGTGTAGGAAGACTAAGCCCTCCCTCAAAGATGACTACACCCTAACTTGTGAATATTCACTTTACATGGTGAGGGGGGATTAAAGTTGCAGATGAAACTGAAGATACTAATTAGCTGACCTTAATTTGACGGCCCAATGTAATCACAAGGGTACTTCAGTTTGGAAGGAGGCAGTCAGAGAGGTGACAAGAGAAACAGAGGTTGGAGGCTGCACCTTGCAGATGGAGGGGCCACAAGGCACGGAATGCAGAGACCTCCAAAAGCTGGAAAAGGCAAGGAACTGGATTCTCCCCTAAAGTCTTCAGAAGGAATTCTGGGAGCCTGCGCTGGCCGGGTAGCTCAGCTGGTTAGAGTGTTGTCCTGATACACCAAGGTTATGGGTTCAATCCCCCGGTCAGGGCACATACAAGAACCAACCTTTTCGGCTCGGGGGAGGCTCAGGTGCAACTTTCTTTGGTCATCCCGAATCGGGGTCACCGACACCAGCTGCCTCCTCCATGCAGCTGAAGTGAAACCCCAACAAAATCAAAGTCATATACCCGAGGTGCACCAGTGGGGAAGTGGCTGCCACATCTGCCTTGGCCCCCAAGATCGGCCCCTTGGGCCTGTCTCCTAAAAAGGTTGGTGATGCCCAGCCAGCGTGGCTCGGCGGTTGAGTGCCGGCCTATGAACCAGGAAGTTGCAGTTCAATTCCTGCACATGCCCAGGTTTTGGCTCAAACCCCAGCATGGGGCGTGCAGGAGGCAGTCAATTAATGATTGTCTCTTATCATTGATGTTTCTCTCTCTCCCTCTCCCTTCCTCTCGGAAATTTAAAAAAAAAAGGTTATGACATCACCAAAGCCACTGGTGATTGGAAGGGTCTGAGGATTACAGTGAAACTGACCAATCACAACAGACAGGCCCAGATTGAAGTAGTGCCTTCTGCCTTTGCCTTGATCATCAAAGCCCCCAAAGAACCCCCAAGAGACAGAAGAAGCCAAAACAAACAGTAAGCGCAGTGGAAATACCCCTTTTGCGGAGACTGTCATCGTTGCCCAACAACTGTGGCACTGATCTTTAGCTAGAGAACTCTCTGGAACCATTAAAGAGATCCTGGGCACTGCCCAGTCTGTGGGCTGCAATGTTGATGGCCGCCACCCTCATGACATCATAGATGGTATCAACAGTGGTGCAGTGGAATGTCCGGCTAGTTAAGAACTACAAAGGAAAATATTTCAATTAAACATTGTTTGATAACAACCTCCCCCCCCGACAAAAAACCAAATAGTACATAAGGCAACTGGACGATGTTTCTTTCTTCCTCTATTTCTGAGGTCAGTAAAAACATATACTCGGGTGAGGATTAAAAAAATAAAAATCAATGTCAGAGAAACACTGACTGACATGCACCCTGGCCAGGGCTCAACTCCACAACCTTTTAGTGTACAGGATGTTGCTTTAACTAACCCAGCCACTTGGCCAGGGCCTGTCATTTCTTTTATATACTTACTAGAGGTGTGGTGCACAAATTCGTGCACAGGTGGGGTCCCGGGGGAGGGACTGTGGGAGCTGGGCCAGTCACAGGAGGTTGACTGTAGGAGCACACTGACCATCAGGGGGCAGTTCCTGCATTGAACATCTGCCCCCTGGTGGTCAGTGTGCATCATAGCAACCAATTGATCGGTCGTTTGGTTGTTCAGGCTTTTATATAGAGAGCTTTTGTTATTTCACCCCAAATGTTGTAAGAGATACGTCAAGCTCCTTGCAATAAAATTTCCTAATTCTCAAGCACACAAGGTCTCCCATCATCCATTCTGTATTTACTCTGGAGACCTTCCTCTGGACATCCACTTTCTAAGCCCCTGCACAGGAACTATGCAAATGGGGACATAGGAGGCAATTTGTCTTTTTTATGTTGATGACATTTTGTGCTGGATTCAAAGTTTTTCTGAGCACAAAATTTGTATATGAAAATCATATTCCCTCGGAAATTTGAGGAACTTCTAGCTTTCAGCATTCCAGGATTATAAGTGATTCTCTGTCCTTTTTAGAGGTTGCAATTGGGGTTCCAACAAAGCAGGGTCCCCCAACAATGAGCAATTCTCAGATGCTAGCAGGGTATCCAATCATTCAGCTAAATCCTGACACCACCTGAAGACAGATGACTCCACAGGTAGGGCTCAGTCCTAGAAGACCACTCCCACCCCCCAACACACCTCAGCGATTAGCCGGCCGCAAGCCCAGCTGCTTCGAACCAGAGCTGGCTACAAATCAGATTCCCACGACCCACTTCTTGGGATTGGTGCATTTGCTAGAGGCTCACAGAACTCAGAGGAACATATTACTTTCTAGATTACAGGTCTATTATCAAAGAATGTGACTCAGAGGCAGATAGAAGAGACACATAAGGCCAGGCACCAGGAAAGGGCAGGCAGTCCCTACGCCCTGTTCAGGCGCACCACTCTCCCCGCATTTCCACATGCTCACCGACCTGGAAGCTCTCACAAAAGGACCAGCAAACTGCCCCTCTGGGTTTTTATGGAGGCTTCATTAGAGTTATGATTAAGTCATTAGGAGTTGGTGATTGATTCAACCTCTTCCCGCTCCTGATATATGGGGACGGGACACAAAGTCCAACCCTCTCTAATCACATGGTTGGCTTCACTGGCAACCAGCCCCCATCCTTATGTGCTTCACCTCATTAACCTAACAAGACACACTTGGGAAATTCCAAGGGTTTGCAGCGGTTCTCAACCTGTGGGTCGCGACCCCTTGGCGGTCGAACGACCCTTTCACAGGGATCCCCTAAGACCATCCTGCATATCAGATATTTACATTACGATTCATAACAGTGGCAACATTACAGTTATGAAGTAGCAATGAAAACAATTTTATGGTTGGGTCACAACACAAGGAACTGTATTTAAAGGGCCAGAAGGTTGAGAACCACTGGTTTAGGGAGTAGTGAAGCCAGGAACTATGGATGAAGACTGAACATCTTATAAATCACACATCACAGTCCAACCTCTGGTCTTTGAACTCGGATCCCTCACAGCAAATTACTCAAGTCAAAAGATACTGGTCCAGCCCTGACTAGTGTTGCTCAGTGGTTAGAGCCCACTCACTGAAGAGTCGCAGTCAAGGGCACCTACCTGGGTTGCAAGTTCGATCCCTGGCCCCAGTTGGGGTGCAAGCAGGAGGCAACCAATCAATATGTCTCTTACATTGATGTTTCTTTCTTTCTCCCACTGCCCCCCCCCCCAAAAAAATCAATGGAAAAAACATCCCCAGGTGAGGATTAACAAAAAGATACTGGTCCAGCCCCAATTGGTGTGGCTCTGTTCGAGTGTTGTACCATACACCAAAAGGTGGGTTTGATCCCTGGGATCAATTCTCTCCCCCATCCCCTTCCTCTCTCTAAAAAAGATACTTGTCCATTACTAGAATCTCATTCAGTCATGAGTAACTATCCAGCCATCATTTTATCATATGCAAATGTCTTCCAGGGTGATGTCATTCAGTTTGCAAGCGGCCATTCAAACCTGTCAGGTTCCAACAGCATAGGTGGTCTCGGGAAAAGCATGGCTTCACCCCTTCACACTGTAGAATCTCTTGCTGAGCCCCTCTTCAAGTT